TTATTTGTTTTGCATTTACTGCAAATATGCCTAAAGATCTATAAAATCATGACACCGGTGAACAAAGCATGTAATGCTTCCTTCCAGTGCATCTCTCTCATTTCATCTGGCTGTACCCATGGAGGCCACAGGATGGATCTCCTGGAAGCTTTATTGAGCTTAACAATCTCATCAAGCAAAATGTTATTTGTTTTCAATTATTTGGAATTTTGCATAAGTTAATAATTGAGGTTATTATATCATTATTATTATGCTGAAAAGATTATCTGTGATTTCTTTCCTTTAATTTATTGCCCATAGGATTGTAGGAAAATTAATACTGCAGCCACTTCACTCCTTTACTTCATTTTCTATGGGCTTGGGCTTCTTCACATTGGTTTTATCTTTTAAATTTTTGATATGATTAAATATGTTACCTTTTTTCTTTAAGTGATAATGAATTACGGGTTTTGATAGAATAAGAAAAAATACTGAATGCAGGTAATAGAAAAGTTCACAATTTGTACAAAATTTTCATAAGAAACTTTTATCTAGTATATATAAGTGGTTTATTGTGTTTTGCCAACATGTGGAATGGTTTGATTAATTTCTACTTGTTCATATAATATGTTTTCTTATATTTTTGTGGTGATATCTTGTACTTATTACATTTAGTGTTGAACCTCTTTCATATGTGGGCTTTTTAACACGTAAAATTGTTACGTTTTGGTTTTTTGTTTTTTGGGGCTTTTTTGGTATCAGGAATTGAACTCAGGACCTTGTGCTTGCCAGGCAGGCGCTTATGCCACTGAGCTAAATCCCCAGCCCTTAAAATTGTGAAGTGTCTGTGTGAGGACTACATGTGGCATAAGGTTTACAATTTCCAATCCACTTGTTTATATCTGATTCATAATCACATGGCATTTTTTTGTATATTAGGCTAGGGATAGTCTTAGTAATTCCATTAGATTTTTGTTGGTACTTTAACTTTTCCAGTGCATGTGAAGACAATTTTATGTGTTTCACCTTAATCTCTCTGTTACTTTTTGGTGTTTCTTGTGTTTTGTCTATTGATATGATTTTATGATTTTGTTTTCTTAATTTTAATGCAGTGTATTACTTTAATTACTTAATGCCTTTGATACTTTTAAAAATTTCTTCACTGTTGCCTGTAATCTGCACGAATAATGAACGAATAAATTTTCTTTTATTTAAGGAGTGATTTTCCTTTTTATGTTGCTGCTATTTCTCTCATTTTCCAATGTTGCTATTTTGTTCTTTTCTAATAAATATATATTATTTTAAATTTATTTTAAAGCACTTATTTCTGGGCACCTGAAATGATAGTATGTTGTACATTTATTTCAATATATTACAGAACCCTTAATGCCAATCAAGCCTTCATCTGAAGCATGTATCCCTTAAAAATTGGGGATTTAATCTTTAATTTTTAGGAGTATTTTAAATATAGTTCTGCTGTTGGTTTTGAATTTCATTTGAATAGGTGTGAGGGCCTGCTTTGCATGATTTCCATTGCTTTGAACACATTGAGGTTTTCTTCTTTTTTTGACTTTTGTTTTTACATCTTAGCAGTACAGAATGACTGGATTCATTATGGGGAGTTGGTACATGTCTACAACACATTTCAGTGTACCCCCACCCCTAGAAATTGAGATCTTCATTGTTGTTCTGAACATGGTCTATTTAGGTAAATATTTCTTCTGATCTTGAGAAGACCGTGTACTACCTAGCTATTTGATAAAGTATTATGCAATATCCAGTCAATCCCCATGAAGCATGTTAATTTTTACTGTTCCATTACACAGTTTTCCTGCCGTCTTCAGCTATCAGTTACTGATAGAGTTGTTTTCAAATCTTCAGACATAGTTGTGAATCAGTGTCTTTTCCTTCCACATTCATGGTTTTCCTCATGTAGTTTCATCCTTTATTTAGTGGAATATGTTTTGAGGACTGTTCTTTTTAGAGAACTGACTTTTATATCATTTGATGACTCTAATCATTATTTACTTTGAGGTACAAATTGAATAATGTCACATTAATCTGGCTTCTACAAATGGTGTTGAATCCATGATAGACTAGTGTGACTTTTTGCATAGCTTTCTATTTAATCTATCCTCATCAGTTTCAACATAACAACCACTCCTGTCCAGGTAGGCACAGCATTAGAACCATTACCCAGATGTCTAGACATTTATCAGCTCTGATATCTGTTTTCTCTTTCCCTGACAGTCTAACCTGTTCTCTTGATAGACAATATAGAGTTTGAGCACTATTGCTGGCAGTCTGTGGGTCTTATGTTTGCAGCTGTACTGCTTTGCTTATTATTGCCCAATGTGTGATGTCTCATTTTTTTATATATGAATGCAGAGCAATAAATAGAAAGTAATGTGTACTTTCTTAATAGTAACTTAGTGTTTAAATATATTGCAGTAAAATTTAAAGTTATTATTGAAGTGTAACAATAATAATGGAAATATTCTGGGAATATTCAGAAAGTTTCATCATTGGGCTTTGGGCAATGGATGAGAGTATTTAGGTGATTGATACCCTACTTGACTCCAACCGTTTCTGCACCATGTTTGATAACTCTCTCACTTTTGTGACCTTTCCCAAGTTTACCAAATATTATATCCTATGATGCACAGTGTTTCTTTAGTTTCCTCCCTTGGAAATTTCAAAAAGTGAGTATTACAGAAATTGCAAAGTGAGATATTTTTAGAGTTTGTTTTGTTTCACTGTTGTTCACAAGTGCTGATATGTTAATCAAGGGCAAAACACCTTCCTATCCATTGCATTGCTCATGTGATTCAGGATTTTTCAAGTGTACAGTACTTGAAAAGAATCACATCTATCTCTAGGAATAAAAGCACAGTGTACTCTCTGGACATTGCAGAGAAGTCACTGGGAAACTCCAAAAGAAAGGAAATAAGTGTAGAGTGTTTTTCTTGATTCTCCATTCTTGCATAAGTCTGCTTCTTTTTTGTGTTCTTCCACACTTCCATTTTCTTTCATGATTGTCTCAAAGACAATTCAGTTCTTGTTTTGTATTCAGTGTTACCTTCTTGAATTAGAAATTTCATAGTCATTGTTTTAGGTTTGTGTTTATTGCTCTTTACACCCTCTACAAGATCTTTGTACTGTGTACACAGGAAATATTTTCTTCTTGTGTTATTTCCCATGATTTTCATGTGTTTTGATTTATCCTTTTAATTAGGATGGTTGCTTTGTTTTCTTCTGAGGTAACACTTTATTGCACATCTAAAAATTATTGCACTATGAATTATAAAGGCATTGAAGTTTTTCTTATTTCCGTATGTAAGTTAGTTATTGTATATAGAATGAAAGAGTATACAGTCATGGATTCCTAGTACATACCTGTTTCCCCCCGAACATAAATAAAACATACTCTGATTTCCTCCAGATACTTATAACACCACCTCTATCATGAATTAATATCCTCTATACATGTAGACCCTTTAAGGACTGTATTCCATTCCTGAGATCCATTTGTCATTTGCTCTACCAACAGTATATTTTCATGAAAGGTAAAATTTGAATTTCTTTCATGTATATTATGTAAGCTATCAACCTTGCTTAAAAGGTATTGAATATTGTTAGATGTATAATTTAAAGTATAATACAGTGCAGTATTTGACAAATCAAATGTGTCATTTATAAGTGACACAACTTTTTTGAAGTTTTCCTTTTTGGGAAGTTTTTGATGCAGAGGTTCACTGTCTATTTTAGTCTTGTCTTGAACTTACTATGCAGACCAGGGTAGCCTGGAACTCATGGCAATCCTCCTGCCCCAGCCTACCTTGTGCAGGGACTCCAGGCATGTACCACCACACCTAGCTGAAAATTGCCTTTTGTGCCTGATTATTTTGTGATATATTAGTTTTCAATGCATAAAATACATTTTATTCATCTTCTTCCCCTCATTACTGTTCTGTACCCTCTAGAATTTCATATATCTGAGTGTATAATGATCATTTGGTGACACTGACTTATAAGATGTCACTGTTTCAGTATTTGCATTGTTCACAGACTTGTGCCAGTAAAACTATCTCCCATTAAAATTTTGATTATTATTCATAAATGTTGCTTGCTGTGCAATTATGTCTTTTTTCTATGAAACCAAATTCAAGTTTCAAAATGCTACCTAAGTACAAAGAAAGGACTCATTGCCATAAAAAATAAGATTTGGAAAGAGAGATTACCTATGGCTTATCAAAACCATTCATTAGATATTCATCAGCCACATTATCTTGTGGATGGTGATCTTGCATGTTCCCTCTAGAGATCTGTGCACAGATACCCTTGCAGTGACCCAGCAGAAGAAACGGTGCTCATATTCTACTGTGCTGTAGCAGTAACTGGCAACCTAGCATCAGAATTTCTGCCTAAAAATGTGCCTACAGTTGAATTTGATGACAAAGATACAGATTTAATAGTTGAACAATACAGCCAGCATTCAGCATTTTTTTAAATTTTTGAGATACTAGGTGTAGTACAGGCTGGCCTTGAACTTGCTGTGTAGCCCAGACTGGCTTCAAATTCATGGCAATCCTCCCTGCTCAGCCTCCTGGGTGATGAGATTACAGACATACAGCATCACACCTGGCTCTCAGTTGAACTTTTCATGAGAGGACTTGAGATATTCAAAGTTATCAGTTTCAACCTTCCGTGAAGAAATATGTAAAATAAATCGAACACACATGTGTAAATATCATGTTATCTCTCTGGTGTGAGAAACTGAAAATGGAAATGAGAACATAAATGTACAATAGATATTGTGAAATACAAGAAACTTTGAAAGGAGAGGGAAATAAGGGGTTGGGAAAGGCAGAAAAGGAAAGAAGAAAATGAGAAAAGAATAAAATGACCAGCTTTGTGAACTGAGAGGTGAAGTGAGTTTCAAAAGAGGACGGGAATGGGGAAGTATATACATATATTTTTTACAAAAATATACATATATAATAATATATATAATTATTTAGGAGGCACTGACCTTTGAAGATATAGCTGTGAACTTCAGCAAGGAGGAATGGGCTTTGCTGAATCCATCCCAAAAGAAGCTCTACAGAGAAGTGATGGGGGAAACATTTATGAATATGGCTGCTATAGGTAAGGATGATACCATTTTCTCATTTACACAATCAGAAGACATTGTTTCTTGCTCATTGTTGCAGTTTGATTAAATAGAACATGAAAACATTTTGAAGACTTACAGGACTGATTACAAGATGATTCTAATTGGAATCTACTAATTTTTATATACTAAAGTAGTGATTCCCTTCTATTTTTATGTCTACAATTTAGGAAGAGCTTTGGATAACCAGGAAGTTGAAGAAGAATACAAAATGTATGGGAGAAATCTAAGGTAATTTCAGAAGGAAAGGGAATGTTCCTCAAGAGTCTGTGTGTGAGTGGAAATATGGTAACCAAGAAAACAAGGCTATGTTCAAATGTATTTAATTTCACAAATATTCTCCAAAGATGTATGCTATTTGAGTACATATAATCTGACTACAGAAATATTCCAGTATAGGAAACTGAGTTAGTACTAATGTCATGCAACAAGTGACCCTATTTGATATATATGTGTAAAAAATGTTCTTTCATGATCAATACGATGTATGAAATTGTGTTTAGGGATGTGTATAGGTGTAATATGAAAAGAATACATTTTGAGCTTTGAGAGGTACCCGTCTTCAAGATACTGATTTATGTATAAATTTGAATATAAGACATTCTCTCTCTAAAAACACTACTAGCCTTGAAGCAAAGTACAAATGAATGCCCGTGTTGTAATGATGGGTATTCAAAGTGCAAATGAATGCCAATGTTTTAATGATGGGTATTTTTCATGCCATCCTCCAGAGAATTGAGCCCATTCATACTTTAAAATTCTTAGAAGACACCCTCCAACATTGTTGATGGGAATGTTAAGTACAACCACTATGATAGTCAGTGTACAGAGGTCTCAAAAAGTAAAGAAAAAATTTCCATTTGATCCAGGTGTACCTCTCCTGGATGTATTCACAAAGGAGATAAAAATCATCATATTATACTGATACATGCATATCCGTACTCAAAGCAGAATAATATATAATAGCTAAGCCCTGGAATCACCCTAGCTGTCCACACTGGATGTGTGGATAATGAAAACTTGATACCATCAGCAGGGTGAAAACCCAGCATTCCAGGTACAGATTTAGAAGGATGGCAAGTTGAAAAACTCAGCCTGAGCAACCTAATCATCAATGAGACTCTCTCTCAAAATAATGAAAAAATTAAAGGTGTAATTCAGTACTAAGACCTGTGTTTAATTCCCAGCACTGAAAACAACAAAGAAAATGTGTTGTATAATCAGCCATAAAGATGAATGATACCATGTCATTTGCCAAAAGAAATGGGTGGATCTTCAACCCATATTCCTAAGTGAAAGAAGTCAGATGCAGAATGTGAAACATCATATGGTTCTCTTATGTGAGAAACCAAAAATATAAATTAGAAGTTAAATAAAAGACTACTGATAGAGAAAAGGAAGCCTGGCTTTTGGAAGATGGGAAAAATGAACAGGGTAAGGAGAAAAGGGGTGAATGAGGGGGGAAAGGTATCAAATGATCAGTATATGATATATACAAGTACCAACTTCCTAAAATGAAACCAAACCTTATGTATTGCAAAATATTCCAATTTTAAAATTCCCAAATACTTTTTTGGCAGTGGCCGTTTTGAAGTTATCCTTCAAAACAGTCAATTAATTTATTGTCAGTATTTCTTAGGAGGGGCTGGGGATTTAGCTCAGCGGCACAGCGCCTGCCTGGCAAGCGCAAGGTCCTGAGTTCAATTCTCGGTACCAGATAAAAACCAAAAAAAAAAAAAAGAAAGTATTTCTTAGGAGATGAGAACTTGTTCAGGTAATTTATTAATATGGAGAACAGTTTTATTTTGATTATTTTGTTTTGTTTTGTTTTTCCTCCTCATAGAAATGAACAGGTAGCAAAATGCTGTGAATATAAAGCTTGGAATCAGTATGAAGAAATCTTCCTTTGGACTCCAGATGCTAATGTGGATATGAAACAAGCTGGTTTAAAACCAGCTGAAAGCCTTGCTTGTAGAAAGCCCCTAATTGGGCATTTGTCTCCAAATGTGCCCATCATAGCTCACACTAAGGTGAAACCATGTGAGTATGTGGGATTTGAAGCAAAGCTGCATAGATGTAATAAAAATGGAAGAACTTGTGATTTCCAGTCCTTCCAGAAGCACACAAGGACAAAGGCTGGAGAGAAACCCTATGAATGCAATCAGTATGAGAAATCCTGCTCTGATCTTACTGAAAGAACTCACCTTAGAGAGAAGACCTTTGTATGTCCGAAAAGATTGGAAGCCTCTAGCACATCCAATGATGTTCAGATCCATGGAAGAAATCACAGTGAGGGGAATCAATATGTATGTAAAGAATATGAGAACACCTTTATTTCACCCGACTATATTCAAGTATGTGACCAAACGCATGCTGGGGGGAAGCTCTATATATCTGAGGAATGTGGGAAAGCATTGTCTCAAAGTAATTCCTTTCACAGCAGTGTAAGTATTCACACTGGGAAGAAACCATATGCATATAAGCAGTGTGGAATAGCTTTTGGTACAGAGAGTCGCCTTGAAAGACATGAGGGAACTCACACTGGGGCAAAACCATATGCCTGTAAGCAGTGTGGGAAAGCTTTCAGCACACGCAGTTGTTGTCGAAAACACGAAAGGACTCACACTGGGGAGAAACCCTATGTATGTAAACACTGTGGGAAAGCTTTCAGCACACGCAGTCATTGTCAAACACATGAAAGAACTCACACTGGGGAGAAACCCTATGTATGTCAGCAATGTGGAAAAGCTTTCAGCACACGCAGTTGTTGTCAAATACATGAAAGAACCCACAGTGGGGAGAAGCCCTATGTATGTAAGCACTGTGGGAAAGCTTTCAGCACACACAGTCATTGTCAAATACATGAACGAACTCATACTGGCAAAAAACCGTATGTATGTAAGCAGTGTGGGAAAGCTTTCAGCAGATATGGTAATTGTCAAACACATGAAAGAACTCACACTGGGGAAAAACCATATGTATGTGAGCAATGTGGAAAAGCTTTTAGCATACGCAGTCATTGTCAAACACATGAAAGAACTCACACTGGGGAGAAACCCTATGTGTGTAAGCAGTGTGGGAAAGCTTTCAGCACACACAGTTGTTGTCAAGTACATAAAAGAAGTCACACTGGGGAGAAACCCTACATATGTAAGCAATGTGGGAAAGCTTTTAGCACACACAGTCATTGTCAAATACATGAAAGAAGTCACACTGGGGAGAAACCCTATGTGTGTAAGCAATGTGGGAAAGGTTTCAGCACACACGTTAATTGTCAGACACATGAACGAACTCACACTGGGGAGAAACCTTATGTGTGTAAGCAATGTGGGAAAGCTTTCAGTACCCAGAGTTACTGTAAAATTCATGAAAGAAGTCACACTGGGGAGAAACCCTATGTATGTAAGCAATGTGGGAAAGCTTTTAGCATACATGCTAGTTGTCAGATACATGAAAGAACTCATACTGGGGAGAAACCCTATGTGTGTAAGCACTGTGGTAAAGCTTTCAGCACACATGGGCATTGGCAAAGACATGAAAGAATTCATACTGGGGAGAAACCCTATGTATGTAGGCACTGTGGGAAAGCTTTTAGTACACATGTTAATTGTCAAACACATGAAAGAATTCACACTGGGGAGAAGCCTTACGTATGTAAGCAATGTGGGAAAGCTTTCAGCAGACATGGTAATTGTCAAACACATGAAAGAAGTCATACTGGGCAGAAACCCTATGTATGCAAACAGTGTGGGAAAGCTTTTAGCCTACATGCTAATTGTCTAATACATGAAAGAAGTCACAGTGGAGAGAAACCCTATATATGCAAGCAATGTGGGAAAGCTTTCAGCAGACATGGTAATTGTCAAACACATGAAAGAAGTCACACTGGTCAGAAACCCTATGTATGTAAACAATGTGGGAAAGCTTTTAGCCTACATGCTAATTGTCAAAGACATGAAAGGACTCACAGTGGGGAGAGACCTTCTATATGTAAGCAGTCTGGGGAAGCTTTTACCACAAGTAGTAATTGTCAAACACATGAGCTTACTGGGGAGAAACCCTTTGCATGTAAGCAATGTGGAAAATGATTTGCTACTAAGTCCTCACTTAATAGAAATAAAAGAAATCTCCTAAAGGAAAAATGTTGTGCATGTAAACAATGTGAGAAAGCATTCATTAGTAGCACATATTATCATGTACATGAAAGAGGTTGCACTGAGGAGAAACTATATATGTAAACCTATTTGAAACTCCTGTGAAAATTTCCCATGTAGTGGAGACCAGTAGAAGTAATTGCTAAGAACAGTTTTATGTCACTATTTCTTCATAACTATTTCATAAAATACAGTCTGAAACAGAGATATCCTAAAATGGAAATGTTTTTCAGTAAACTATAAATGTCTTGATTATATATCTTTAATGTTTAATATAAAAATATGAATTGACATAATTATGTATTTTTGTGTCTTTGAGCTTAATATATATTTAATTATATATATGTCTTTTAATTAAACATGGTGAATTTACATGTATGTTTTACTTACAAGTAAAATAATTATGTACTTTTTTTTAACAATTGGGTGGCATTGCCCACTAAAAAATTAATGTTGTTAATTGTGTTTTCATTGGGATTTTTCCACTCCTTTTCCAAAAAATTTTTGGTCTATATACTTCATATTCTTTCTAACAAAAAATATTTTTATAATTTGATGCTGTATTTTATATTGAGATATATATTTTCAGAGAATTGTCAGTGTATACGTTTAAAAATTTTTTATTATATGTTTGCAATTTATAGTCCCCTTGGGAGTACTTACATGTACCTATTATGGGCTTTTAAAAAATCCCCTTTCATTCTCTCCTTCTCCCCATTCCCACCAGTTACCCTATCCCCTTTTTCATACTTGCTGAATTATGTGTTTAGTTTTCCTTATGAATTTTAGGATTTTTTTCTCTAATCTTTGAGGAATGCCTTTGGTATTTCAGTTGTGATTGCATTAAATGTATATATTAGTTCTGGAAATATGAACATTTTAGTAATACTGTATCTTCCTATCCTGTAACAGGGGTATCTATTTTCTGATGTCTTTCTCAGCCTCCTTTTTCAGAGTACTATAGTTTTAGTTATAGAAGCCTTTAACTTGTTTTGGTAGCTTAATTCCTGAGTATTTAATTTTTCTTGAAGGTGTTGTGAATTGTTTGTTTTTCTAACATTTTTGTTAATGAGTTCACTATTGGTATACTGGAACACAAGTGGTTTTTGAATGTTGATTCTGTGTCTTGATACCTCAACATATTTGCACAGGAGTCTTTTGGTGGTATTGTTTTGGCTTCCATGTAAAGGATCCTATCAATGTCAAGTAATAATACTTTGACTTATTCCTTTCTTCTATATATTATTTTTATTTCTCTTGCTTGATTGCTCCGGCTATTATTTCAGATAATATATTGAACAGGAGTGGTGATGATGGGACATTCTTGTTTTGCTTATGATTTTAGAAGGAAAGCTTTCAGCTTTTTCATTTAATTTGTTACTAGTTGTAGGTTTTTCATAAATTAATATAATCAGATTTAGAGAAGTACTTTTCAGGTGTTTCAAATCATGAATCCATGTCATATTTGTTGAAGGTTTTTCTGCATCTATTTAAATGATCGTTCAATTTATTTTCTTCTGTTTATGTGTATTACATTTATTGATTTGCATTTGTGAAACTGCCTTGCATATGTGAGATGAAGCCTGCTTGATCATGATATGTGATCTTTTTGATGATTTGTTACATTTTGTTTGCCAATATGTTGTTGAGGATTTTTTCATCTGTGTTCATTAAAGAGAATAGCCTGTAGTTTTTTGGTTTACATTCTCATAAAGTAGTAGCCTGGAAAGCTGAATAGTACTAGCTTTCAAGAATGATTTTGGGAGTACTTCTTCCCCTCAGTTTCATTATATATTTGGAGAGGTATTGTTGTTAGATTTTAGCTGAAGATCTTACAGAATTCAGGGGTGAATCTATCTTGTCCTGGGTTTGATATGATTTTTTTTATTACTCAGTTTTTTTAGCCTATTATTTTACTGTTCAGGGTTTTTATATCTTCTTGGTCCAATTTTGGTAAGTCATACCTGTCTAGGAATCTGACCATTTCTTCTATGTTCTCCCATTGTTACAGTACAAGTTTTCTAATTGTTTACAAACATTTTCTGGGTTTCAGTGGTAAACATTGTGATTTCACCTTTGTCATTTTTAATTGCATTGATGTGTGTCTTTTCTTGCCTTTTTTTAGTAACATTGGCTGGGGTTTGTTCAGTTCATTCTTTTGAAGAACTAGATCTTTGATGTATTTCTATTTTTTAGTGTTAATTGCATTTATATTTGCTGTGATATTTATGATTTGTTGTGCTGGTTTTGGGTTTACACTGGTGGTGTTTTTCTAAAAACATGAAGACCATCATTAGGTTATTTGAAATTGCTCTATGTATCTAATATGGGGATTTACAGCTACTTTTGCATTAAATGAGTCTTTTCAATGCAACAGTCATTTAGTTCTTTGATCCTGTAGGTTAATCTTATTTTGGGAACTGAGGCCAGTGTCTTATTTTGGGAAGTAAGACCATTTACATAGATTTGTTACTAAAGATAGACACATACTTGTCATAAAATTCCTTTTCTGTTGTTTGCTCCTTTATTTTTCCTTTTTTGTTTAATTGATAACCTTGCTTGATGTATTCATTCTGTCAGACTTTCTGGTTTTGTTGGCTTCATTGCTTCTTTTTAGAATATTCTTGAGTATATTTTGGGTTGCTGATTTGGTTCTCATAAATTTCTTAAAGTATTCTTTGTTGTAGAATGTCCCTAATTCTCCATCAGTTTTGATAAATATTTTTTGTAGGTTGTATTACTCTGGCTGGAATTTGTTTTCTTTTAGAGCTTAAAACATCACTCTAAGCTCTCTTTACCTTCATAGTTTGTGTTTAAAAGTTTGTTATAGTTGTAATGGGTTTACCTGCATAAGTAACTTTTTTCTCTTCTATGACAGCTTTTAAGATTCTGTCCTTGCGTTGGACTTCTGGGATTTTGAGTATGTGGAGAACTGTTATTTACATCATCATATTTATTTGGTTTACTGCTTACTTATATGTAGAGTTCTTTCCCTTTACTTGGAAAGTTTCTGCTATAGTTTCTGTAAGCACATTTTTTATTTCATGTGTGCTGTCCTGTAGTTTCTCTCTAACTCCAGGTAACCTTTACCAGTGGCCTTGGTGATGGACCACATGATGGCCTTGGGCAGGTCAGGAAGGCTCACACTGCACTGGTAACTCTCGCCATCAATCCAGTCCCAGACGGCCATGGGCAGGGTAGACCTGATGGAGACTGTGGTGTTGTGGTGCATCTTGGCTGTCCAGGGCTCAGGGTTCATGGGCCACGCGCTCTCCCGGGTCCACTCTATGACTCCATTTTTGTTCTCCAGGTCTACCACCAGGCAGGTAAGCTTGGGCATCTTGTGGTTGTACAGATCCAGAGGGCTGAGTGGAATCAGAGAGGCACCCACTGTGACTTGTCTTTATCTGTGGCATGAGGACAGGCTGTGTGAGACCCTGCTGGCCCTTCCAACTATCTCACCCTCATATCTAGGTGTCAGGGTGAATAGAACCACACCTGTGCACTTGTAGGTGTGGTCCTCTGAGGTCAGGCCTTGGGAGGAGACCTGGCAGGTGAAAGTGCTCTCTTGACACCCAGTTGTTCTGGGTGATGTTGAGCCCACTTTGGTTGGAGGCAAGCCTGCTGCTCATCCCTCAGCCAGGTGACTTGGAGGTCACCTGGGATGTAGTTCAAAATGAAGCAGAGGAGCTGAATGATGGGCTGGAACTTACTGCAGTTGTAGGAGAAATAGAAGAGCTTCACAGTGGGCTGGGTGAAGTTGGAGGAGAGAGAAGCTAGGGCAGAGGTGGCCAGTGTGAGTGTCCATCCTCCTCCCACCCCCAGGATGGCTCAGGCCCCATCCCTCTGTCCTGGGTGATGTGTGCACTCTGTTCTGATCAGCTGTCTGCTCACCTCTGTCTTCCTTTGGTTGACTGTAGATGCAGCACGGTGTACCACCCTGCAGGTGAGCTATTCAGGCCTCGATCTTCAGACTAGCACCTGGCTGGTGGTGACCGGGAAGCTGGAGTTGAAGTTGGAAATGGTGAATTCAAATTTGGTCACATTCTGTGAGTCTGTTTCCCAGATCATGGATACCAGCCTCAGGAAGTAACCCTTGACCAGGCAGCCCAGTGTCTTGGGGTCACAGCAGGAGCTCAAGGGGAAGATGGAGGGTGGCTGGACAGAGGCTGTGAGTCAGGGCATGGACAAACAAGCCCAGGCCTGGGGTGGGTGGGATATCTGTTCAGAATGCTGCTGCACCCAAGGCCAGACAGCCTTTATCTTGTCCCCTGTCCACTTCTTTTCTCATGGGCTCTTTTCCCTGGGCAGAGGCATGAGGCCACTCCCAGGCTAGAGCCTAGGCCGATACCCAATGGAGGCTGGGATAAGGTAGTTCTCCTGCTTAACATAATTTACTACTTGAGAAAATATTTCCCAAGGTCCTGCTGGAGTCCCATGTTTTCTTCAGTATCTCCCTCCTTTGTTTGAAAACCAAATACAGGTTGCCCAGAGAAGTTCTTGTCTTAGCCCCTGGAGAATCTCAAATTCTCTGAGAGAGTTTTGAACCTCCTGGAGCCCTAAAATCATACCACTTGTCTCTTTTATTTAAACCTTCACTGTCCACTCTTTTGGGAGATTGTGGGCCTGATCAGTCTGTAATAACAAAGGGATAATATTAACCTACTAGCACCTCACACTGGACTCCACAAGGCAGGGACCAGAGAACCTACAGGATGGGGACCAGAGACCTGGGAGCCATGGTATGGTCCCTTTTGTCCCCACCTGTGGACACATTGAAGTGGGGATGCAGAACGCTGTCAGCACTACCAGTCCCTGCTCTTTCATCCCCAATTTGTTGTGGGCTCATAGTAGGCAGGTGTCTTGGTTACTTTCTTTCATTGCTGAGGCCAAATAACTGACACCAAACTTAAGGAAGGAAAAGTTTATTTAGCTCACAGTTTGTGGAGGTTTCAGCCCATAATCAGCAGGCTCCCTGAAAGGTGGCATGGTGAGGGGCAATAGTTCATGGTGGCAGAAGATTGTAAAAGAAGCAAGAACAAAAAGGGGGGAAGAACAAGCATCTTTTTCTGCCTTGTATTGTATGCTGGCTCCCACCCCCTAGGACGGGTATAGCACTCATACCATCTCCATGTCCTCCTCTTGCACAGGAAGAAGATATTTACAAAATGAAGACCCTGGTCTCCTACTGAGTCAGTTTGTTAAACTAAACTTCTCAAATTGATGAAATGTATCAAACATAAGAGCAGGTCTCCCACCCTTGCCCTAAACCCCTACTCCATGAGGCTGTTAGGTTCTGTGCTAAGATATTTAGGTGTCCTGCCTTAGTTTCCCTACACCCCAGGCTGGGTCTGACCAGGTAGGGCTCTATGGTGCTGCTCCCCTGCTGACCAGCACAGTGGAGGGCAGCAAGAGCTGGTTTCAGAGCCATGTGGATGAGGACAAAGA